GCCAGGCCGTGTGTAGGTCGCGCTAGGCCAGCCAGACCGGTGCCCGGGGGGGGACACCAACTTGGTAAGTTGTTACCTAGGTGTTTGCCTAGTTGTCACGAGATGCCACGTGTCGCAATTTCCCTAGAGGGCCAAATCTGCCCTCATCAATTAGCTTGATGTGGTTTGCTTGTGAAGATTTTCCACAAGGCTCTTAGGAAGGGTCCGGATCTGTTCCCAACAAAAATGCTTCCAACACACTCCCAACAAGACAAAGGTGTGGCACCTCACCTCTTCTCTCTCTCTCTCTCTTACAGACAAAAATTTCTCTCTCTTTTCTCAAATTTCCGTAGAAAAGAAAACTATAGTAGCTTGATCCTTTACGGGAAGATATGTACTACGTAGCTCCTTTAGGGGTTCGGCCAGTTCTCATCTCTGCCTCCAAGACCAAGTCCAACCATTTTTTGGACTTTCTGGGTTCGAGTGTCAACTAGAGTTCCGTTAGGGCTTGGGCCTCGGGCCATACCGGGTTCCCAGCTTCAGTGTCAGCGGTCCGGTAACTGTAAAAGTGGGCCATCAGCTGGAGTTGGGCTTTATAAATTTTGTTATTCTAAAGCTAAAATATTGGTTGGTTAGTCAGCTGGAGTTGGGACAAGTTAGTCATGGACCATTCGTGGCTAAAGTTGGGCTTTAGGTAGCCAGAATAACAATTAACGCAGCCATGAAAACCAAAAGAGAAAATTGAGCAGGTTGTATGAATACCGACCTGTTGTTTTTCTCCTCTCCGGCTCTTCCCAGTTCCCACTTCCACGTATGACTGAATCATATTAGTTCTTTTTTTGTAAACCATTGGCTGTACGCCTACAGAAAATGCTCTTCTCTTGGAGAACGGAACCAGCAATAGAGGAGTCTGATCTCTTATTTGGTGCAGCGGAAGAAGAATGAATCACCCATTCGTTTATTAAGCGGAGAAAGATGACGGATCACGGATGGACTCAAGAGAGGGATACTATGCCCCAACAAGCTCGATTCTACTCTTCAGGCATTCGAGCTTCTTTCGAGGTGATCAGTCGCATACTCCCAGTTAGGGCATTGAGGCTACTCCAAGATGGTATACGGTAACGGTACCCATCCTGACAACCCCAAACCACTTGAGCTAATACTAAAAGGCAAACAGTGTTTCCGCAACCAAGGAGGTTGTGGAAGACTGGAGGCGCAGAAAGCAGGTAATCGTTACAATAGTTCCTATTAATTTTAAACCTTATGTTTTTGCTCCAACAACTCTGAATACACTCTGCATTTCAGCTGTTATTGGCTTCTCATTGCAAATATTTCGGTTAGAGTTGGTTAAAAGAAGACATTGAGGTTTACAGTGACCCAACTATCAGATTCGAGCATAATCCTATGATATAACAAACTGCAACTGGGTACGTTGCCTTGTCAAATATCATTCTGGTAGAAGCTTCAATAAGAATGTTGTTGTTATCAACATCATTTTTCCTTCTATAAGTGCCATATTTCCGATATTTGGAAACAGGACCAGGATGAATGGCTGGGCTTAGTTGAAACTTCGGTGTCTCTGCAACAGTCCATTTGAGGCATACGGGTTGGGCTTAAATTAGAGTAATCTAGACAGGACTAGTAAGCCAGACAGTTGAATGAGAAAAGCTTTTACATCCCAAAATTATGCACATGCTGGTTATAAGAAAGTGATAGTTTAATCAGTACTGCTGTCTCTAGTTGCCTTCGGCTGAACTTCTGGTCAAATTGGAACAACTGAAGCAGCTCCCAATTTTAGGCTATATCTGATCTAGTTTTCTGAACATCCAGTCTAACTAATTGTGACCCTGTTAATATCTCATATATCAATTTTGTTGCGCAATTTGCAACTAAATAATCATTATAGGTGAATGATGTTGGCAAGCTTCAAGAAGTTGTTGACATTTGGATTTGGCATTAGTGGTTTGGAAAACATGCAGCTTATCATTTTTCGTGCCCTAACTAGATATATGAAGAGGACTTTGTGTTTATTTATTAATTGACATCTCTTTTCTTGCAGGAGCTGAGAATTTATCTATTACTTGCTTTTGATTTTGTCTAACATTTTTAGGATGATAATCATTTATAAAAAAGGCCATGATCCAATGTTGGTCCTAGCTATTGGGGTCTTGGAGGGATGGACCAGATACAGACCTAACCTTTGGCATTTTTTGCCCAAAGTGGCTGCTCTCAGTGTTATGGGCCCGGGAATAGGATCTCGTCACGGGTCGGTCCATGGGGAAAACCTCCTGTTTTCCCTTGTTCCTCCCTTTTCTTGAGGAACCTATCTTGGCGCCTTAATGGTGATTTGTTCAAGAGATCACCAACTCTCCTTTGCTCTTTTCTTGACTGAAATTTTCGATATGTTTATTGAATAATATCAGCTCCTTAAATAGGAGATTACAAGAGGTAGAATCCTRYTTTTARGARGACTCCTTGCTAATCTACTACTCTATCCTATTAAACTGATAAGATAAGATAAGACTTCCTTAATCTATCCTACTGAACTGATACGATAAGATAAGAACTGTAATTAGATAAGGTAAGACTCCCTTAATCTGTCCTACTGAACTGATAAGATAAGATAACTGAATAGATAAGATTCCTACTAATCCCTGCTACTGAAAGCAGATAAGGTAAGAATACTGAATAGATAAGATAGGATGAGAACACTAAATTGTTGCTGCTGAGAACACTAAATTACTGCTGCTGCTGCTGCCGGCGCCCACATCACTCAGATTCAGATGCTCTTTTTGTTTGAAGCAAACTTATTTTAAACCATGGTTTGCTTGTTTGGTTAGAGCCAAACCACAAAAGTTATAGCAGAGTTGTTCCTTGATGAGAGGAATACACTACTCAAGAGATGAACAAAATAACTTATTTTACAATAGTAAAACTAGTACATGAGTCATATACAGATATATGTAGCTTGCTTACTAAATAATGCTTAGAGATCATTATTTACAACTTTTACTCAATTAGACATGATGTAAATTATTTTCCTAGACCTATTAAAATTTAAACAGCAATCCTAATGCGAGGCAACTGAAGCAAGTTAGGTTTAGAAACCATGTGCTATCTCTTAAAATAAAAAATCCTGCTTTGAGCATGACTTCCTTATGAATCTGAGAATAACTTGTGCAAATTATGCTAAAATTGTCTGTTTTTGGTTTATGCTTCCACTTCTTTTTCTCCATAGTTCTAACTTTTCTTTATCACATTCATAATCAGGAATAGTGCATCCCATGCCACTTATGGTACCAAGCTACTAAAACTTTCTTCCTTAAATTGCTATTTTGATCCTTTTAATGAAATCATAATGCAAAAACTGAATAAATAATGATACTTTTTTCGCATTCTGATATTCAGGTATGGTAATTTTCTTTTCACATTTGATCAGCAATGCATTTTGTGTATTGCCATTCCAAAGTACCTATACGTTTTTTTAAGCTTGGTTTAGCATTGAAAACCATTATCATGGTTTCAGTTGATCTTTGAGTACATGCTAACATATCCAGTGATTTTGCAATTGCTCAATTCCATTTTTTTGCTGTGCCTATTTCTTTTCATGGCAATTGTTGTTATAGGTGAATAGTCATGACGGTAAAAGTATGCTTTTAATTTTTTTCCTTCCCTTAAGAGAAACCAGGTGAAGCTTTCATGGTACATGCAAAATTCCCAGGAACTAAAATGTTGAACAGACAAAGTAGTTCAACTGGGGGGGGGGGGTCTTGGTCTTGCTGCTTCTTAAGAGACCGGATTCATGTAAACTGGGTATATGCTGTCATTCTCAACGTGGCAAAGAAGACAATGTTGTACCAATCTTTCTCCAGCTCGGCTAGATCACAGATGAATTAATGGTTTCTTCGAGTAAAAGCTCTTTAATTTGACATGTTCCAATTCTTTAAGGAGCTACTGATACTCTTAAATAAAACCAGTTTATTTAATAAAAGAATTGTCTCCCCTTTTCCCTTTGGGTGGTTGGCAGGATTTTTATGTTACTTTACTGAAAGGGATCCAATTCAGTGTGGCGGTCCAACCATGTCTCAAGCCAAATCAAACAAATCATTTTAATGCTGAACTGCTTCTGAGATGACAGTTAATATGGCTTTCACAGTTGGACTGTTGGATTGACATTTCTTCGATGGTCTTTGCTTCACTTGCTTCACTAACAAACCAATGCTATGGCAATTTTAGAACATTTCTGGAGTCCAACTTATTATTTTGGTTTTGGTTTTCTTGTTAGTAGGACAGAAACTTATGAAAGTTGAGTGAAATAGTTTTCTTAGAAAAGAGCATAGGTTTCTTTGTCAATTGATGCCTCTTTTTCGTATTGATGTTTGGCTTTTGTCACAGATTCAGTCATGCTACTTTTTCTAGAAGAAAGTAACATATGATTTTACCCTATTCTGATTGATGCTATGTTTATGCTTCTTTCTCCTGTTATCCTGCTTATGATTGGTTCATTTCCTTTTACAATGTTTCCTTCATTTGCTTCCTATGATCACTTTGTGTTTTCGACCAGGATGTTTCTACATTCTTTTGCCTCAAAGGATTCAATTCAGTTATACTTTGGATGAATTATATGCAATAAAATCTACTACAAACATGAGAACACAAGTTTAGGCTTGAGAGCTGTCACCTTGTGTATAAGAAAAATCATTATCATCATCCGAAACCTTATTCCAACTATATGGGGTTGGCTGCATGAATCCTGTTTTGTCAATCTATTCTGTTTAATGTCATATCCGTTGTTACGTTATTGGCGCTTAAATCATTTCTTACTACTACCCACATCCTTTTCTATCGACTCCTTGCCCTTCTAGCCTCTTCAACTTGTAACAAATCACTTTTTATGAGTTCTGTTGATGGTTTTTTATGCACATGACCAAATCATCTTAGTCCTAGAAACAATTTCATTTTTTAACCTATCTTTTCTAGTTTTTCCATTCATCCATGTCAGCATATACATTTCTGCCACTATTTTTTGGACATGTTTTTGACTGCCCAACACTGCTTTGTACAATATAGCTGGCCTTTCAATAGAATTGTGCTTTTTAATCTAAGTGGTACTTGTCTGTCACATAAAGCTCCAAATGCATGCATCTATTTTTCCCATCTTGCTGCGACATCCTGCTCAGTCTCTCGTTATTAATTATTGAACCAAAGTGTTGAAAAAGTTGACAATGAGTTATCTCCAATCCTAGGTGAACCTTGATTTGCACTCCCAATGTTATTAAATTTGTACACTTTAAAAACTCTTGTTTATAAGGGATTTGCTTATAAGCTTATTTTGCATTTAATACGTATCTAATCCACCTCTCACTAGGAACAACATTGTGATAAAATCTAATACAAAAATTCTGGGACAAGATTATTTGTTTCCCTATGGAAAATCCACATATACAAAGTGGCATATTAATGCTCGCCAACATAAAATCACACTGTAGTAATACTATAATGTTGCACTTGCTATATTATGATCCTAGCGAATAAAGTGGATATATTATCATCTTTAGACACGGAGGTGCATCCGCTGCACCATGCAGTAAAAGAAGTGATTGGCTGAATATATTGATTCTACTAATTTGGCATCCTTGGACGGATGTTGAGGAGCGTTTCTAGTCCTTGTACAGAATATCCTTTCTAATCAAAAAGACGATTTCATTACTCACTAAAAAACAATTTTTACATGCCGACCATTAGCCTGGATTGAGCCCCCCCCCCAAAAAAAAAAAAATCTCATCCAGTCTGGTAGTTCGTCTTGTCCAATATAAACCATGTCCATATCCATTATTCTAGCTCTACTTGCCAATTCATGAGTTACCACATTACACTCTATTTACATTGCTTTCTTCAAAAGATCTCTTAAAAGTTTTGAATTTCTTATAGCAACGCTTGCTTGATCCACTCATCTGCTTCCCTGTATTAGGTTTTTTCTTTGGTGAAAACTGATGAAATTCATTAAAGCAGAAAGAGAGATACATCAGAGACAGGCACTAACATAACTGAGGACTCCACAGCTAACAAAACCAACAGATAAGAAAATAAACACAAACTACTGAAAACAAACTACGACAGACGATCACAAAAGGCTATGTTCAAATTAATTACATCAGAGAGACACAAGGGACTAGCATTATTAGACTTAAAACTTGCAGAAAGACCACGTTTAGCCGCAGTATGCGCTGCCTGATTTGCGTCCCTGGGCGGAACTGGACCCTGTAATTTCTTGTTGTAACTTCTTGAATATCCTTGCAACAAAAGAGGATATCCGGGTCTTCAGAAACATCAATATCATTCAGCATTTTAACTAGGCATTCACAATCAGATTCAAAGCAAAGATCTGACTCGTTCAGCTGATCCGCAAAAATGACTGCTTCTAAAAGGGCTTGTGCTTCCGTTTTCCGAGGCCCAAAACCCGCACCCCAGCAGCACCCCATGTACTTAAACATCAATTCAAAGAACAAGATTAGGTAAGCTCAGAGACCGACTTTGGTTGGGTTGGGGTTGTGGACATAATTCCTCGCGACATGGGCCTGCGCACTGAGGGAGAGGCTAAGATAGAGAGGGTGATGAAAATTTATGAGCACCAGATTATTCATGTGGATTGGGCTGTCAAACGTGAAGCTGGTTCCGAGGTAGTGAACAGCATCGTGAAGTCAGTTGAGAGTTGGTGAATTTCATAATACCTGGTTTATTTGGTAGGTGTTTGGTATCAGTGCTGGGAATATTGTACCGTTTTTTCTTATAAAATCGGTGCTGGGCATGTGGAGTTGTGAGTACTGGTTTTTCATAAAAATTGTGCTTATTTTTTTGTTTGGAACTGGTGCTGTCATGTAGGTATTTTTTGAGAAAGCATCACTGGTTTTGTTTGGTACCAGTGCTGGCAGCAACATTTTCAACACTGATCTATATTATTCAACACCCAAGATGATGCCGCATTAATGCCACATCATTGTACCATTGGCAGCAACCCACCGTTTTCTTAGAAAACATTGAATTTGGTGTTACTTCAGATCACACTTTCCCGATATCTAAAGCATGGTTTGGAGTAACATTTTTCTGGAAAAACATTACCAAATAAGGTGTTGTTTGAAGCACTGCTTTCTCTGGTGTGGTGCTTACATGATGTCATTTTCTCAGAAAATGGCGTCGATGTTGCAAAGTTGATTTGTGTTTGATTCCCGTCAATGCACACAAAAGGATTTTGAGAGGGGGAAAGTTGATTTTCTTCTTCATCATGCATTTAAGAAGAAAATCAGGTGGTTAATCTTAGATCGATTTGCCTGCATCTGGAATCAGAGCAATGGGTCCTGGAGTTGACTTTGATTCTGAAAGTATTCCAGTGAAGAGGCAGTTTAAGGATAAGGATTAAGGCAGGGCCCTGGAGTTTGTACTTGTTTAATGAATTCAAGCAGCCTCAGACGTCAGTGTCAGCATCAACGTATTTTGGACTATTGGTGTGGTAGACGGATTTGGGGTTCGTGCCTAGCGCCTTTAATTACACTCTTTTAGGGTCCATCAATTACACTGTCAACATGCTATCTCATTTCTCATTCCTCACAGTAGTTAATGTAAAGTCATCCACCTCCACCACCTCTTAGTAACAGTCCCATTATTGATTGTGATGCCACTTTTTTTCTTCTCTAGAAACAACTTTGACATTTCCTCACCAACATCTTTGAGAGGGGATTTCCTGAAAGCAAGAACCTTGTGAACATCTTTGCAATAGTGTATTGGGAATACCCCTTTCTGAATTTAACATACAAATATAGGAGATATTTCCATTATGTGACTGGATGTGCTACTTTTAGTTAGGAGTATGCTAATTATATGATCTGGACTATCAAATCAGACTGATCCCATGGAGCTGTTTATGTTTGACAAAGTGTGAAGTAAGTTATATGATAGTAGGTGGCACTTATTAACAATTAGATTTGATATTTGAATTATATTTGTTATTTATGTAGCTAGGTATGCATGGTATTTGGGCTTTCTAAGTGGATTAAACCCAGTAGAATGGCCTAAATTGTATTAAAAACTAGACCAAACCATGATAGAATAGTTTGGTCCGGTTTGATATTTATACTAAAGTGGTTTGGTTTGATCTGGGAATTTCTCAAACCATAATTTATTAGTGTGGTATAAAATATTCTCCAAATTGAAATAAATCAGATCATGAATACCCCTACGCTTAAGGTTTTCATACTGTTTTTTTTTTTTGCTTTCAGGAGATCATGGCTGTTTTCTTTTGCTTGAGCATCCATGATACGTGGGTCCTACAACAGCTCTAGGCTAATGGAAAAAAACAACTAAATAGAAGAAAGGAATAATTGGTTGATTAGTCCTTTGTTTCTTTGGGTCAGCTAGTTTGAATGGAAAATGGACTATTGCTTCTAATGTGGGATTTGAATTGCCCTTGTTGGCTTGTAGCCTTGATTTAGTTGAGACTTGGTTGACGTTAATCTCGCAGTTCCTAGTTCCCACCAGTGCACATGACAATATTTGTATACTTTGGATGGATGGGTGTTTGTGTGGAGCAAGGTTTAGATGAACGTTTTAACTATTTAACAGGCTGTGAAACCAATGATAAGGTTTCATGTCAGTAATAAATTCATGAGCCTCACTGTTAAGATGTGAGCCCCATGTATTTAAATACTGGTGTAGAATCTCATCATTAGTTCCACAACCCACTAAACAGCTAAAGCATTCAGCTAATCCAAATTTATTGGTATGCATTTGTGTATATAACTATATATGCATGCCTGATCATGTTGGCAGGTGGACTCGACTTGAGGAGTCAGCCATCTAAACCATGTTTTGTTGATGAGCAACCAACCAAGACTTTGAGTTTGATGTGTAGACTCTTTCAAAGATGAAATTCATATTCAAATTAACACATGTACAGCTACATCTCACATCTCACATCTCACATGCGTTGCATATACACAACAATTATTGTTACCAAGTAGTACAATATATGTAGGATGAAGCCAATGTCCGTCCTGACTGACATACATACAGTAAAAGTAAAAGTAAAAGCTAGCGTTTCTTTTTGTAAAAGCTGTAGTGTGTTGA